TTGAAATTCCAAAAAGTGCAAGAACTTACACCGCAACAGAAAAAAAATAGACTCAAAAGAGCAAAAGAGTTACTTTGCTTAGCCGAACTGCCGAATTTGGTTTTCTCCAATAAGAAAAATTCTGTAGGGTGTATTAGAGCGTTGGGCACGCAAACATTTTGGCTGCAGACCTTGGACATTCCATGGTTACAAAATAAGGTTCCTCGCTGCATTTTCAACGCACAAATCTCCTGATACCAATCCGTTGGACTATTGTGTCTGGAGTATTTTGGAAAGCAAGGTTGGAACTAAAAAATACCAAAGTGTCGATCACCTCAAGCAAGTGCTTCGCCGGGAATGGGCCAAAATACATTCGGGCAGCGTGTGACGGTTTCATTGGCCGTTTGAAGGTCATAATTCATGCCAAAACTGATCAATTCGAACAAATCTACACTTTTTCTAAAATTTGATGCTATTTCCAACATTTTTTTCTTTCATTCAATAAAATTACAAAAAAAAAATGTAAAAATTATGGCGTTTGACTTTGACGAGCTGATGGCTAGGGGGTCTTCATATAGGAGCAGAAGGTCAGGAAGTCTTATAGACGAGCTTATGTGAGTCTTTATAGATGAGCTAGGGAGTCTTTAGAGACGAACTGATGACCAGGGAGTCTATTTATAGACGAGCTGTAAACCAGGGAGCCTTTGTAGACGAGATGAAGGTCAGGCAGTCTCTGTAGATTACCTAAGTGGCCAGGAAGCCTGTATAGAGGAGCTGCAGGTCAGGGAGCCTTTATAGACGGGTCGAAGAGGGTAGAGTGTCTTTTTATAGACGAGTCGAAGATGCCAGGGTGTCTCTTTATAGAAATTAAGGTAGTGTGTATAGACGAGCTGCTGGCAAGGGAGTCTGTATAGATGAGCTGATGTCCAGCGAGTCTTTATAGACGAGCTGATCGTCAGGGAGTCTGCACAGGCGAACGGCTGGTCAGGGAGTCTGTATAGACGAGCTAATGATCCCTGGTTGATGGATCATGGATGGATCGTCTATGTAGACGAGCCGATGGCCCATTCTTGTGACATGAGGATAAATTTTTTTGCCGATTTGTGATTCGTTTAAGCCCCATTGGGGTGGGGAGTCTGACCTTTATCATTTCAATAAAAATAGGTTATTGTTTGACAGTCTAATATATGCACTGCAATATATGTATCTCTTACACCGTATACGTTATGTTAACTACACTTAATTAACAATACCATGTATACGCAACCAGTTAAATGAATGGATGTATGTTTGTTACGGTTACTGGTTGTGAATATGTCCCCACCGCCTGATTTAATTAAATATTTTGTTTGTTCCCAGAACTGATGGAGAAAATATATGTTATTTTTAATTAAAATACATATTCAATCTGTAATTTCATTTTTGGCTTTTCGTGGTGGCACCATGTTTTCGTGGAAAACTCAGAGCTGAAGTTAATATCAAATTTATGTGAAAAAATTTTGTTTAACGCGGTATGGCGTTGTAACATGTGTTCTTTTTGCGAAAAGGCAGCAACGAACTCGGTTGTTATTCCAAAAAGTAAATTTATAAAATGTATGTTCAAAACAGAAGCAATTTGTTTCCGGGTGCGTATACTTTACGTTGTTACTAATACGCCCAACAAATAACAAACGATTCTAATAAAATAATAAATTAGTCCTGAGAACCTTTGATTCGGGATTTTTGGTAATGATTTGAAGGTTTTCCCCAATGGCCAAATGGAAATTAAGTTTATCCACATACAGAATTAAATGCAAAGCCAGTATTGTGATTCTTCTGAAAAAATCATAACTTCCGATAAATATTTTTCCAAGTATTTAATTACGCTCAAATTGAGTTGCTTTGTATTCAATTCCATTGCAAAACTTTTTGCCTTCAACAATCCTCATTGGAAGGGCAAGGAATTTCTATTACACGAATTAAGCTGAGATATTAAAAGTATTAACGCATTGTTTGCCCTCATCATCAGTTATGCATACGCAAAATTATTTCTATAACCTCCTTGCGGGATGAAATACAGAAGGAAAAAAAAAATGGCAAAAGAGAAAAACTTCTGGGATTATCTCCCCAAAGAAAGGGCATTAAATGCTTAACATTCAATCAAATGTGGCGCGTGTTTTTCTCTGTCATGAAAGTGAAAAGGAGAATCTCCAGGAATATATTATATTAAATTTTCAATGAAAGTTTTTCTTTTGTATTAAATAGAAAGGAAGCTAGTTTAAAGAAGCACGTTTTGTCTAAAATTCATTGAATGTAACTTAAAAAGCATGAGTGTGGAGGAAAGTTGTTTTTTTGTTAACTTTTTCATTCGAAACTAAAATTCGACAAGTTATTTCCTATTCCATTCGAAAGTATTTTTCCTCATGCTTTTGTCGTTAGTTTTTTCCGAAGGATTGTAACATCCTTTTTGTATAAACTTTGTAATCAATAGAATGCCAGAAAAGTATGTAAGTATGTGAGAACACAATTGTGAATACGTATAACTAGATTTACATTATAATGGAGTGTAGGAAAAGTAAAATGTAATAAATGGAAGTTAGGAGGAAATATAAACAAGCAACATTCTGCATTACCAGTCGATTGAAAATAATGGTAAATTCCTTCGAAAATTAAAAAATCGAAAGAGCTTACTTTAATCATTATCAAGTAATGAATAAAATCTGCATGGATTGTGCACATCTGTGAGTTTGAGTCCCGAAGTGAATAGATGAGGAAGATATAATACTAATAATAAGGAGGCGAGTTTAATACACGTTGCAGACAAAACAAAAATGTGAGGAAGTAAAATTAAATAAAAAATCGAATCCTTTTTTCTACTTATTTCGGGATCCGTTCTTATCCTTTCTTCTAATTATTTTAATTCGTTTTCCGACAAATATATACGCTCAGTATTTTACATTGTACATTGATATGAAAAAACTGTAACCAATTTCAGACTGCTGTCATTTCTAAGTCACTCGTCCGACAGCTGTTATAATTATTCCAGTGACAGCTCATTAGGTTGTTTACAAGCGTACAAAAGCATTTTGATGAGAATTTTCCAGAAAAAATGTTATTCGTGATGGAATTCAAGCGTGATAGTGTGATTTCTTGATATTTGGGGTGGGATAAAAAAAACTGCAACCAACTTCAGACTGCTGTCATTTCTAAGCCACTCTTCCGCAAGCTATTAAAATTATTCCAGTGATAGCCCATCACATTGTTTACAAGCGTACAAAAGCATTTTGGTGGGAATTTTCCAGAATCAAAGTTGTTCCTAGTGGAATTCAAGCATGATAGTGTGATTTCTTTATATTTGGCTGCAAAAACCACAAGTGACTATAGTTAGAGCACTCCTGCATTTAAATGTGAATAAATTTTGTAAATTTTGTATCTCGTACCATTGCTCGTTACCGTGATACTGGTAGCGTAGCCCGACGGCAAGGATGTGCACGGAAGAAAACATCAATATAAGCAGAAATGGTTCGAAAATTAAAAAAGCGCCTTGATCAAAACCCGCGTTGCAGTAGCCGAAAAATGTTTCGTGAGCTGAACATATCGCAATATTCCATTCGCCAAATATTGAAAAATGAGCTCGGGGTAAAGTTATTGAAATTCCAAAAAGTACAAGAACTTACACCGCAACAGAAAAATAATACACTCAACAGAGCTAAAGAGTTGCTTCGCGTGGCCGAAAGTGGTGAACTTCCGAATTTGGTTTTCTCCGGTGAGAAAACACTCGTTGACCAAAAGTTTGTAAAGAAACAAAATGATCGTGTTTACTCGCCAAAGAGGTCAGTTGAAAATGTTCACCTTCGGTGGGCCATCAGAACTCAAGCGCCGGCCATGGTGATGGTGTGGGCCACCATAGCAGCCGATGGTCGCTCTCCGCTCGTATTAATCGACCGTGGCATCAGAATAATTGCCGAATATTATCGCGAAAATATTCTGGAGGGTGTATTAAAGCCTTGGACATGCAAACATTTTGGCCGCAGACTCTGGGCATTCAAACCACCAATGGTTACAAAGTGAGATTCCTCGCTTCATTTCCAGCGCACAATGGCCACCAAAATCTCCGGACACCAATCCGTTGGACTATTGTGTCTGGAGTATTTTGGAAAACAAGTTTGGCACTAAAAAATACCAAAGTGTCGATCACCTCAAGCAAGTGCTTCGCCGGGAATGGGCCAAAATACCGCAGGGCAACATTCGGGCAGCGTGTGACGGTTTCATTGGCCGTTTGAAGGCCATAATTCGTGCCAAAGGTGACCAATTCCAACAAATCTAAACTTATTCTAAAATTTGAAGCTATTTCCGACATTTTTTGCTTTCATTCAATAAAATTAAAAAAAAAATGTAAAAAAAATTATAAAAATGTAAAAAAATGTATGTCGTTTGACTTTGTTGCGGTTTTTTTATCTCACCCTGCACGTATGCTCTTTATAGAAAAGGCTTTCAGAGGTCTTCTATAAACATAATACCTTTCTGCTGACGGGTGATCTTGTTAGGGCAAAATGTCTTTTAAAGGTTTAATATAGGGGGTATTGTTTGACAGTCTTATACAGACACAAAATTTTTCAGAAATGTTCTATAAAATGAATTCTTTCTTTCTTTTGGGATGGAGACGCTTTAGAAGTCTTCTTTAGCCTGAGCTTTTAGAGCTTTCATAGAAGATAATTGCAGTAGAGATATTTAAGAAATATTCTACAGGTAGACTAAATACATGTCTTCTATAATTAGTTTTTATATGCTCTATAAATAGACTACCTTTTGCAGGTATTCTCCATTTCAGCGCGGAGGGTATAGAGATATTCTATAAGTTGTTTTCGGATAATAGACTCTCCAAACGCTCCTTGTAAATGCTTTTAGACCCTTTTCAAAATTGATAAATTAAAACAAATATATATTCCACATTTTGTTCATTACTGTTATTTGCCTTTCTTCCAAACATTTTCCTTAACCCTCTCCATTTAACATTCTCTTTTTAATTTCTCCCATTTTAGTTGTCGTATACGTGATTTGCTGCGGCATAATGGACAATTGCCCGATGGCATTGATACATTACGCTTGCCAAGACGTCTGCAGCGTTACATCGATCTAATGGAGGAAATCGAAGGACCCGATAAGGATAAAGACAATGACGATGACGATGATTTTCCCACCACGAGTCGGGCGAGCCAAAAGAAAAAAGTCACTAAAAAGGGTACAACGTTGGAAAGTGCCAAAATCCTAAAACCAATCGAAGAAGAAGACCGGCCAATAACATCATTGGCAGCTACAACGGCACGAATGGAGCCAACACCAGTCGTAGTAGTAACAGAGCCTGTTGCCACAACTGAGGCAAGCGATGCAGTTAATGTAACAAACACTTCGACTGAATTATCCACTACTACCACCGCAATTACTGATACCACCACCACTACTACAACTACATTAGAGGAACAAGAACAACAGCTAGACCAACAACTACAAACCATTAGCATTTCAGAATCTAAAGAAGAAGAAGATGTCGTCGTTAGCATTTCAGAAGTTAAAGAAGGAGATGCCGTCGAAATGCCGGCACCCTCCACGTCTCCTGATGCTGAGGATGAGGACAATGACGCCACTCCAGTGGTGATTTTCGATAAACCTTTTTCATTGTGATTTTCTTGGCATTTTCATTTGTTTTCTCGTGTTTTTTGTTATTTTCATCGATTTATTTTTTGTTCGTTTGCCAAACGGAAAAACAAGTTTCGACTTTTCTTGTTTAACGACACTTCCTTAACAAGATTGAGAAGAAGAGCCAAAGTTCAATGTAATACCATCATTCACTTGTCGCATTTTTTTCTTCCTTTTTGGCGGAGCGAAAGTTTTTTCTACCATTCGCCATCGAAAAAAAAAACAATAACAAGAAATCCTAGAAATTGACTGAACTTACCTGTAGGTGTATTCACTGACATTAATGCGGCCCGGTACTCCTGTTGTCTCCGTGCGACTGGTCAGATTAACAGTGTTGCCAAATAGACAGTAGCGCGGCACACGATTACCTATAACACCGGTCACCACCTCACCCGAATGAATGCCAATTGTAATTTGCTAAAAAAGAAGAGTAGAAAGAGTAAATACCATAAGAACTACGAACTAGTCATACGAATATAAAAATCATCATCATAATATAGTATTACTTTGTAAGCTAAGTAGAATTTGGAATGAAATGTAATAAAAAAAATTTGGTGTCAAAAATGAAAAAAATGTGCAAATTTGAATATATAAAAATTAGCTTTAATACAATAGAAAATATTTTAAATTAATACTATGGACCGAATTATATATGAATTATAAAAGCTTTCAGTCTTATCGCCAATGGGTATGGCGATTCAAAAACTTCAAAATAATTATTCTGTGTGAGAAACCTGAAACCTTGGAAATACCGAATTTCAGAATGTACTGCTAACCGGAATATATTTTATTAATATTAAAAACTGTCTCCAGAAAGGACATACGTAATAATGTAATCATGAAAATACTTTAAATCAGGAGGTGAGATAAAAAACAAAATCAACAAAGTCAAACGCTATAATAATTTTTACATTTTTTTTAATTTTATTGAATGAAAGCAAAAAATGCCGGAAATAGCATCATATTTTAGAATAAGTTTAGATTTGTTCGAATTGGTCACTTTGGCACGGCTTATGGTCTTCAAGCTGCCAATGAAACCATCACACGCTGCCCGAATGTTGCTCTGCGCTTTTTTGGCCCATTCTCGGCGAAGCGCTTTCTAGAGTTGATCGACACATTTGTATTTTTTAGTGCCAACCTTGCATTCCAAAATACTCCAGACTTTGGTGGCCATTGTGGGGTGGCCCGTGCTAAGTGCGATGCTGCTGAGTCCTTTTGGAATGTCCAAGGTCTGCGGCCAAAATGTTTGCGTGGCCCAAAGCTTTAATACACCCTCCAGAATATTATCGCGATAATATTCCGCATTTAAGCTGATGCCACGGTCGAGAGCGGAGAGCAACCATCGGCAGTTATGGCGGCCCACAGCATCACCGTGGCAGGCGCTTGAGTTCTGATGGCCAACCGAAGGTGCACATTTTCAGCTGACTTCTTTGGCAAGTAAACACGATCATTTTGTTTATTTACAATCTGCCTTACAACGAATATTTTCTCATCGGAGAAAACCAAATTCGGTTCAAAACTTTCGGCCAACCGAATCCACTCTTTAGCTCTTTTGAGTTTATTTTCTTTCTTTTGCGGTGTAAGTTCCTGCGTTTTTTTGAATTTTGATGGCTTTACCCGAGCTGATTTTTCAATATTTGCCGAATGGAACATTGCGATATGGCTCGTGAGCCAGTTTTTGGCCACTGCGATGCGGGCTTCGATCAAGTCGCTTCTTTACTTTTCGAAACATTTCTGCTGATGTTTTTCTGATGTTTTCTTCCGTCCACTTCCTTGACGTCGGGCTACGCTATCAGTATCGATGGTACGATGGTTTTTTCATCTCACTCCTTAAAGTGCATGAAAATGTCGATAAAGTCAAAAAAATGTCGATAAAGCCCAAAAAAGGGTCAATAGCTTGAACAATCATAATGGCAGGATAGGGGTATACCTCTGTCGGTCAAACCGACTGATACTTTTGTGACTTGTTTTATCGAAATTTGATTATGTGCCTTATGGAGACATAAAAAATATTCTTTTTGGAATCCCCTTCAGCTGGACTCCCTTATATGGCATTTTTTTTTTTGCTGATTAAAATGTTTATACTTTCTATAGAAACATTTTTAAATCTATGGCAGGAAAATTGATAGCCATTATTTTTTCTTTGTGTCTAAATGTATTGGCCCATTGAATGTATCTCAGCTGACTATGTACAATACTGCAATTTTCGTGCTTAGACACATTTCTAAAGTTTTTACTTCTTTCTCTATCACCACAGCGTTATTTGATTCCTTAAACTACAAATATTACTTCAATGCTTTTTTGTTAGAAAACTAGAATTTTTTAAATTGTCAGCAAAAACTGGCCATAACTCTCTTCGAATTTCCCTGTCCGGTCTTTCTATTCAATTTTATTACTTTCCGGTTCAATATGTTCCATTCTCCAAGTAAGTGGAATAGCAATTCTGATTACAACTCAGCAACCTCCCACCCCAACCCAACCGCAATCATGTTCGTAAGCAGTAACCAGATATAACAATAAATTACTAACATATGTGCTAACCATTGGTCGGACACAGAGGATCCACAAACTTTATTCTGCATCAGTTAAACATTAAAGGAGATAAAAATTACCCACAAGTAAAGATAATGTTGCCACAAACAAGTTGGAGAGTTTTGCGGGAAGTGGGGGAGAAGAACTTTTCGACCACAACTACTAATTAATGGTTGAAAGTTCTAAAATGGGACGAAAAACACGAATGTGTTCGAAAGCACCGCAAATATGGAGCAAATGTAATTGCAATATAATGGCTGCCTTGATGTGAGTATGTTTGTGTATGTGCACCATGATTTGTTGCATTTCGCACAGGACCATGAAATTCAAAGTTTTGCTATGCGTTTTTTTTGGAAATTGCACTTCTTAAAGGCATGTTGTTGTTCCAAGGTCTAATGGTCTCGACCATCTTGACCATGTCGGCAATGTCATTACCTTGCCACAACAACAACACCAGCACCCAACTACAACAACGAAATCTTACGATAATTGCAATCACGTACATCCATCTAATCTATGTCTAATGTGGCGTAAAAGTGCTAAACGATATTTTCAAAAGTGTAACGACGAAAGTTTTCACCAGCAACACTCTCCAGACGACTAAATTCTTTTCTCCCCTTTGGTAATTTGAGATGGAATGTGTGCGTTTGTGTGTGTGTGTGGAATATGAGTGTACGTTATGGTAGTGTTCACATCCCTGATGACATTCAGTGTTACTTCCTTTCTTTGTATTTTTTTTTTTTTTTTGTTTTGTAATGACCTGGAATGAGGTCAATGGCTCTTGTGTTGGTAAGAGCAATTCGCATCTCATTGTGTGGGTGGCTTAAGCATTACACACAAACACACACCTACATCGAAGATAAACATTGAAATACAATACATGTATGGGGTTTTACATGAGCATTTTTATAGATAAGGGGATAGAAGGTTGTAAATGAGGAATTGAATGGAGACTTCTTAGATGAGCTGAGAGGAAGGAAATCCTGAAATTCAAGGAAAAACGACGAGCTAAATAGCGTTATGAAAAGAAAAGAAAAGAGACTTTCTAAACCGTCTGAAGCTGGGAATCTTGATTCAGAGGGATTTTCCATAGACAAGCTGAAGTGAGTCTTTATTGTCAAATTGGATGGAGTCTTTATAGATGAACTTTTGGCCAGGGAGTCTTTATAGACGAGCTGATGTCAAGGGAGCCTGTATAGACGAGCTGGTGTCCAGGGAGTTTTTATAGACAAGCTGGTGTCCAGGAAGTCTCTATAGACGAGCTGGTATCCAGGGAGTCTTTATAGACGAGGTGGTGGCCAGGGAATCTTTATAGACGAGCTGGTTTCTAGGGAGTCTTTAGAGGCAAGGTGGTATCCATGGAGTCTCCAGGGAGTCTTAATAGACGAGCGGCTGTCCAGGAGCCCTTATAGACGAGCTTCTGTCCAGGGAGTCTCTCTAGACAAGCTGGTGTCCAAGGATTCTTTATAGACGAGCTGGTGTCCAGGAAGTCTCTTGAGACGAGCTGGTGTCCAGGAAGTCTCTTGAGACGAGCTGGTTTCTAGGAAGGCTCTATAGACGAGCTGGTATCCAGGGAGTCTTTATAGACGAGCAGGTGGCCAGGGAATCTTTATAGACGAGCTGTTTTCCAGTGAGTCTTTATAGGCAATGTGGTATCCAGGGAGTCTTAATAGACGAGCTGGTGTCCAGGGAGTCTTAATAGACGAGCGTTTGTCCAGGAGTCTTTATAGATGAGCTATTGTCCAGGGAGTTTTTATAGACAAGCTGGTGTCCAGGGAGTCTTTATAGTTGAGCTGGTATCCAGGGAGTCTTAATGGACGAGCTTCTGTCCAGGGAGTCTCTCTAGACGAGCTGGTATCCAGGGAGTCTTTATAGACGAGCTGGTGGTCAGGGAATCTTTATAGACGAGCTGGTTTGTAGGAAGCCTTTATAGGTAAGGTGGTATCCAGGGAGTCTCCATAGACGAGCTGATGTCTAGGGAGTCTTTATAGTTGAGCTGGTATCCACGGAGTCTTAATGTACAAGCTGCTGTCCAAGGAGTCTCTCTAGACGAGATGGTGTCGAGGGTGTCTCTATAGACGAGCTGGTGTCCAGGGAGTCCCATAGACAAGCTGGTGTCCAGGGAGTCTCCATAGACGAGCTGGTGTCCAGGGAGTCTCTATAGACTAGCTGGTATCCAGGGAGTCTTTACAGACGAGCTGGTATCCACGGAGTCTTAATGGACAAGCTGCTGTCCTAGGAGTCTCTCTAGACGAGATGGTGTCGAGGATGTCTCTATAGACGAGCTGGTGTCCAGGGAATCTTTATAGACGAGCTGTTTTCCAGTGAGTCTTTATAGGCAAGGTGGTATCCAGGGAGTCTTAATAGACGAGCTGGTGTCCAGGGAGTCTTAATAGACGAGCGTTTGTCCAGGAGTCTTTATAGATGAGCTATTGTCCAGGGAGTTTTTATAGACAAGCTGGTGTCCAGGGAGTCTTTATAGTTGAGCTGGTATCCAGGGAGTCTTAATGGACGAGCTTCTGTCCAGGGAGTCTCTCTAGACGAGCTGGTATCCAGGGAGTCTTTATAGACGAGCTGGTGGTCAGGGAATCTTTATAGACGAGCTGGTGGTCAGGGAATCTTTATAGGTAAGGTGGTATCCAGGGAGTCTCCATAGACGAGCTGATGTCTAGGGAGTCTTAATAGACGAGCGGTTATCCAGGAGTCTTTATAGACGAGCTGGTGTCCAGGGAGTTTTTAAAGACGAGCTGGTGTCCAAGGAGTCTTTATAGTTGAGCTGGTATCCACGGAGTCTTAATGGACAAGCTGCTGTCCAAGGAGTCTCTCTAGACGAGATGGTGTCGAGGGTGTCTCTATAGACGAGCTGGTGTCCAGGGAGTCCCATAGACAAGCTGGTGTCCAGGGAGTCTCCATAGACGAGCTGGTGTCCAGGGAGTCTCTATAGACTAGCTGGTATCCAGGGAGTCTTTATAGACGAGCTGGTGGCCAGGGAATCTTTATAAACGAGCTGGTGTCCAGGGAGTCTCTCTAGACGAGCTGCT